CCCTACACACCACGCCCCCCGGCCCCTTACACACCATGCCCCCGCCTGCTGTTGGTATGGTGGCGCGCAGGTAGAGAAGCAGTAGAAGAAGAAGAAGAAGAAGAAGAAGAAGAAGGCAATGCGCGCCAATAAACCATTTAATGTCATTAAATTAACACTTAATGTCATTTTAACTGTACATTCCCAACCGACTGCAGTTGACAGCAGCACGTAGGTCGTTTACATTTTGGGAAGATATTGATGTTTAATTTAATGTTAACGTTTAAGACATTTTGCTCTGCAGAAAGAGCATTAATTACTTTTTTCAAATAAACTATTTCTTCAAACTCAATACCCTGAAAATGTCAGTGTGTCGGCTTTTACATGTGTTAGACTATATGAAAGTCAGAGTAATGAGTGAGCAAGGGATGATAACAGAAGCAGTGGGGAACACGGCACATATACTCAGAATATTTGTATTTTCATTTAACTCAACATATCAAGTTTTTTTTTCTTTTTTTTTTTTCCTTTAGCAAAAACATATTCAAAGAATAGTTTCGGTGATATGTGTGTTAATTAAGATTGATAGAAGTGTAGTGTAAACTACAAGGCTGTGCCTTGGCTCCGGCTGCAGTCAGACCCTTCTCAAAAATAAAGCCAACCTGGAAGTGTCAAAAACCTGCAACCTGCTGCGGCTTCGGGGACAGCACCGGCTGCAGTCAGGTATTATTATTTTTCAGGGCCAGTTCCTACGTCCATCTTTTATACAGTCTATGCTAGGTACAATATACAGTTAGCAAGTCAAGTGCAGCGAAGGAAAAATGGAGACTTTTACAAAAAAGCAATGGATAATTTGTCCAGAAGGAGCGGAGCATGAACTTCATTTAAAGGTAAAGGTAAGACCGCAATAACTTTTAAAAAAAAGAAAAAAAGAAAAAAAAGAAACATGCCTTTTGTGGGCTACAGCTTGTATGTGTAAAGAATGCAGATATGAAACATAACTCGTAAACTGCTGCCAATCAAATGGCAAATATGCTACTGTGTAGAGTGCATTTATTTGTAAATCAGATTCTGATGAAGTCAGTGCCTCACCAGCCATGAACCTCACAGCACATCACTGATTGTGGTGTACAATAGAATTAGAATTACAATACAACTTTATTGATCCCTTCGGTACAAGACCTCAGGGAAATTGCTACACCAGAAAAAAACAACACAACACCAACATAAAATCAGCAACAACAACAGCATTCAAAATTCAAAATCAGCATTCAAATTCAATAACAATAACATAATATGGTATATATGAAAGCATCAGACTTACGTAGTGTCTGATTTAATAAAAGGTACTACACAATTCTGTACAGTAGGGGGAAGAATGCGCTTGACTCGTACAGTCTGCCATTAAAAACAGAGCGAAGAAGAACAAGAACAGGCCTCATTGGTTAAGCCTCAGTGAAGTCATGTCACCTCCGTCCCGCCCTCTCGCGACTGGTCTCTTTGGACATTGGCGTCAACATGGCGGCGGTGGAAGTCATTGTGAACAACTTGGTGGCCCTGTGGAGGATACCAGCCGTCCGACAGCACTTCCCCTGGATATTTTTACTCATTTCAGCCGTGGGCTCAGTGCTGAAAGAGCTGCAGCTCGTCCCGCAGACATATTTCAGCAGCAGCAGAAACGCCCTGAATGTGTGAGTAGAGCTCAGCGTTGTGGTGTCATCAGCAGCTAGGGCCGGTTAGCTAGCAGGAGTCCAGGTAGTTAGGCTCCAGGGCGCACCTGTGGCTTACTCACAGGTGATGACAGATGGATCAAAATACCGTCAGGAATTTAACTGACTGTCTGTTATTTGATTTAGCGTCGCTAGACAGATGTAGGTCAAAGGTAAACTGAATGACTGATAGCTGCACAATTCAAGTTTAAAGTAAGACCAAAACATGAACATAAATAAAGCATATTTGTTTATTCTTCCCGTTTAATACTTTGAAATTTAAGCGAGACTATATAATTTTTTTTACAGAAGAAACGCAAACAATAGAAAGTTGAGTGACTTGTACATTGTTGACTTTTGCCCTGTTAGGCTGAGTCTTGATTGGCCAGTATTTTGTGGTGGCTAATGTTACAGAACTAAATAGAAATAGGACTGTAAAGCTCTAATTTCTCGGTAGTTCACTGAGTGTTTTCCGTCAGACATGCACATTTACTTACAACTAAATCCAAGAGCCCCTGTCCATCAAAGGTTACATAGTCTAGTTTAACCCACAAGCATTTCCATTGATGAGTAAAATGCTCCTTTAGATTACTTCATATTAGAAGGCATCACATTCACTAAGAGTTATGAAGTTGAGCCACTTTTGAAAAGACAACCTGTTCTCACATTGGATCTTTTCACAGTAACCGCTAGTGTTACTATCCCATTTGAAACAGTTTGAACGAATTCACTGGTTGAATGATGTAAAAGCTCACCCTAGTTGTTTTAGGGGTAATTAGAAAAGGCAAATAATCTCTCTTTGTTGTCCTTGATTCTTCGTATTTCCATTGTGACAACTATCTCCTACCACGATATGTCAATTCTTCAATTAGCAAATTGAAAAAAGTTTAGTGAAAATTAATGTTTTGATTTCTTAAGCAACAATGCCAAACATCTTGGGTTTTCAGCGTCTCAAATATAAGGATTTGAGGTTTACTTTTCACCTATAAGTTAGTACACTCTAAACAAGACATTCAAAGAAGTCACCTTGGAGATTTTGACAGGCATTTTTCTCTGTTTTCTTAAATGTTATTGACTAAATGAACAAAAATGTTTCATTAGAGAAATTAAAAAGCAAAATTGCTGTACACAGTTGCTGCCCTACAGTATAGCTCATTGTACTACTGGAGAACAGATTTCCTTCTGGTTTGAATTAGCAGACAAACACAGCTTTTATTATGAAAACTGGCTTTAATTTAGGGTATTATGCTGAACCCCAACCCCATGTGTAATTTATGGTAAGCATGGAGTATTCATAAGTTTTGACTTTACTGAATGAATTCTGTCACTGAGTTATATATTTCAAAGTTAAGATAGATGGTTTCAGTCACAGTGACAAATCAGAGAAGATGTCTTCCATGCAGAGTTGCTTCAATCCTGATACTGTAGTGCTGATAAATGAAAGAATGAAGGCACATAAGCTCTAATAATGAATACTGAGTTCATGTCACTGCCCTTTTCCTCTCGCAGGTATTTTGTCAAAGTGTCCTGGGGGTGGACGCTGCTGCTGCTGACACCCTTCCTTCTCCTGTCCAACTCCTCCTTCAGCAGGAGTGTCTCCTTCCTTGGCCGACGGCTGCTGTCATTGGCAGTGGCAACAGCTGTCTGGTACATCTGCACAGAGACATTCTTCTACATCGAGGACGTGACCGGCTCCTGTTTTGAAACTGACACTGTGACTGTTGTCAGCATGGAGTTTACATCCAAAGCTGCCTGCAGGCGGGCCGGCTTCCACTGGTACGGCTACGACATCTCAGGACACTCTTTCATCCTGGCCTACTCTGCTCTCTTCATCATGGAGGAAACGGTCCCGATGGCCTCCCTGAAGGCAGCCAGTCTGTCTGCACTGCCCAGGATGGTCCTCAACCTGCTGTACGTTGCCTTGAATTTGATCATGTTCATGTGGGTGTGGATGTTTGCCTGCACCTCTGTTTATTTCCATGACCCATCACACAAGTTGCTAGGGACCATATGCGCCCTGTTGGGGTGGTATCTGACATATCGGGTTTGGTATCTAAAGCCTTTGTCACCAGGACTCCCCCCTCAGCGCCACCCAAAAGAACAGAAACAGCATGCCTGAGCTGATGTCATACCATTCTTTATGAGATTGTTGCCAGTGTGACAGCAATCCTCAAAGCAACACACTACAGTTAGGTTATCTGTGTCCGGGTCCAAGCTGGCCACGCCACTTTAAGCTATTTTAAGTTATTCCCTCCTTACAAAAAGGTCGCTTTGTACAAGATGACCGACTCGCAGTTCTTCCACTATGTTTGGCAGCTGCTGATCCCAAAATGACTCTTGGTAATCTGAGATAAAACCAAGAAGCTGCTCTGCTGTCCAGCATCAGCCTCTCACCTTCAGCCTCTGTGGATCACGTGCTACACTATTGTTTGTCCGCCTTATGATGCTTTACTCAAGACTGAGTAATCGCAGATTTTAGATATGAATGGGAACACTTGAGAATGTTTACAGCTCCAGTTGTATAGCACTGATGATGTATATTTTTGCAGACCAATGTACAGTAGACTTTCAATGTTATTTATTTTAAAGCTACCATCAGAACATCAGACCCACATTTTTTCCTACATGTAGGATTTAAATGAGGTCCTCATTAAAGTGGTTTGGGGTAACTGCAACTGTATGTCAACATTATGTGTTAAGTTTGCCAAGAGGATGTTGAACCTGATTCAAAATAGCAGTTATAAAGATTTTAATACATGTATACTTTAAGTTGTAGGCCAGCATTTTTTCTGTTTTTGCACAATCATTTTATTATCAATTTATCTCTCAAAGAAAATTCTCAGTTGTTTAAAAAAATGTTGATAAAATAGTACAAGATGATGCAAACAGACCCCAAAGATATACAGTTTACAAAACACAACAGCTAAAAACAAAAAAGTGTTTTCAAAACAACTTTGTGCAAATTTGTTTTCCTGATAATCAACTGATTGTTTCAACTCTAATTTTCTTATTGTCAACAGTTTCAGAAAAAGACAAGTACTGAATTTATTATTGTATTATCAGATGCTGCAAATGCCTGAAAAGACTAATTTCTCTGCACCATTAAGGTCTATTCCTACCCAAAAAACACTCAATTTAACAGTGCAGTTTATTTTCATTCGCATATACACCATTCCGCTGCCATACATACTCACTACTACATCGTATGTGTATTAATTCATGTCTGATAATACCTTTGGTGAACACTACAGTGTCATTTCTATTTTAACAACAGAAACTGCTGTTAAAGATTCTTCTGTAGAAACCAGTGTTCTTAAGGGTGAGAGTTGAATGTAGTGCAGTATTGAGAGACACCAACACATTGATGTGTTCAGTCTTTTCTTGGCATTTGAGGACAATAAGGAATCCTGTTAAGGGGAATTTGAGTAAATTTATGTACAGTAGTATGTTTAGTTTTCTGGTGTTGGTGTGCGTTTTCTTATAGCGTGTCAAATACAGAATTACAAACTGTACAGTGCTGGGAGCTGAGTGGGTTTTTGCCAAAATAATAAAAACAGTTTCTGTTAATTCCATTTTCATTATTTATTTGTCATTGATGGCAACTGAATAAATTAAGGCTTATGAACAAACATCATAAAAAGCACCATAAATAAATGCATATATATATAAATATAAAAAATAAAAAGTAAAAAATAAAAAAATACTATAGTGAAATATAATGGCCACAAATCACAACTAGGATTTCTCGACTTGAACTCATTGTGTGATCCAAGAAGTACAGATCCAACCCCTCAGGTAGCATGATTTCAGTCAGAGGAAGAAGTAAAGTCGTAACAGCTGTGCTTGCAGTACTCAAATAATGCCAAGCGTTCACAATGATTGGCTGGTTATGACGGTTCTTGACGTTTGCCCCCACAGTGTCAAAATTAGTTTAAACATCGAAAAATCAACAGAAATAACAAATGTCAATACACAGTTTAGTGAATTATATTCTTAGTTTGCGATTGGAAGTCTTACTTTACACATACATGTCCTTTTGCTTACTTTCAATCTAGGAAAAATTCACACATATACACTTTTTAATCTTTTCTATTGTGCCATTTACATCACTGCTGCTCAAGCAAGAACAGTCTGAAACCAAATAGCCTCCCTGTTTCTTAAATGCATATCTAAAATATCTCCTTACCAACAGCTGAATCTGTCCTGCACTCTACATGCCAAACATGAAACCGGATACAATGAGCTTTTCCACTTCTCTTAATTAAAATCAGATCAAATATGACACAGAAAGGAGGCATTGCTACTAAAGGAGCACGGATCATTGTCTTTGGTTCAACATCTTCTGCTGCAGCTGCAGCGTGCTGCTAGTCACCACCTGTAGAGACAAGTTTCTGTGGCAGCAGAAAACATGCAGCATCCTGAAAAACCAAGGCTTTAGCCTGAACAGCTACGCCCCTCAGTGACGGAAAGAAATGCTTTACTGCGAGTCCTCACTTCAAGAATGTCTGTATAACCAGCCAGAAAACCAAAAGCAGCTTACAACTCCAGCCAGTACCTCACAATAATGAGTTAAACCGAAAGAGTGCACAGTTCAGGAGCAGACTTACAACATGTTAAAGCCTGGAAATCTGACTAAGAAGAAGCAGAAAGGCTCCCATTGAGGGTGAACAGAGTGTGGAGCAAGAAAAGTACACTACATCAACAAATGAGATAGCTGGCAAGGCTAGCCAAGAGGAGAGAGCTTGATTCTTTCTCCGTTTTATACTCGTTTAGCCTTCAGCTTTTCCCCCTTCCCTCGTTCCCTTGTATTTAACCTCTGAGCTCATTTAAAAAATCAACATGGTAAACAAGCATTAAAAATATCTATCTGTAAAAACAATCTTGCATCTGTCAGGAGGAGTCGGCGACAAACAAACAGCAGTAAATTCCAGTGATTTTTTTATTTCTTGCTCAGTATTGCTGAGGGACCAACTCCAACACTGTGCTGTGCAGGTGCTTTAAAGGTTACAATTAGCAGCATAACATTTAGAAATCTGTGGTTTTTATTTAATCATAAATTCTGCCTCTGGGCAACACAAAACTTTCAGTGTCCACCCATCACAAAATGCCTACACAACAAGAAAGAACCCATGCAATGAAATGTACATCCTAAACCTAAAGCAACACAATCGTGCCGCAGATGCAGAATTTATCATTTCACTACCAGTACGGCCAAGTGTAACTTTTTAAACACCAGCTTTTCCTGAACTCCTGCTGAGCGACAAAGAGAGTGATAGTGGACCACCGTGTGCTGTGCAATCTGTGGTGCTCTAAATAAACCGACTCTGAACGCACACGTGTCTCTGTGTGTTATTGTGTGTTGGGTGTACAGCTAGTTAATGGAACAGTTTGACATTTTGGGGGAATAACATGCTTTGTTTCTGAGAGTTTGATGAAAACAGGGCTGCTGTTGGGTCTGTGTAACAGTTCATAGCTGCTTGTTTGATTTGCACCACCTGAATGAATCAGATGAAAAATGGGTTTGTAAATGCTCATGTTTGGGTTTTTGCTTTAGAATTATGATAAAATATGACAAAAAAAATTCTCATGATCCATTTCTGCATTTTGCACATGTGGGTGGACTTTCGTCTGCAGCCTGAGAACACATAACTCCAGCCCTAGCTGAATTGGCTCCTCGTTCAGTACAGAATTCAATTTAATATTCTGCTCATTACTTTTAAATCACTACATGGTCTGACTCCACTCTACATCGCTGAACTTTTAACACCTTATTCTCAGACTCAGTTACTGTGAGAAGTCCCACAGTGCAGGTTTAAAACAAAGGGGAACTGTGCTTTTACTGTTTTACTCCCATAAAGCTCCCTCTGACTGTCAGAACAGCTCACTCAGTTCCTTAGTTCAAAAAGATGTAAAAACTAACCTGTACAGACAAGCATTTGTATCCCTTTTCTGATGTTTTATCGCGCTTTTAAATATTTCATTGTTTTTACTAATTTTTGTTATTGCCTTCTTTTATTGTTACGCTGTTGCTCCCAATGCTTTGTATATTTTAATGTTTTGTAAAGCACCTTGTAGCACCTTGTAGTCGCATTTTTTATAGCACATCAGACAGTGCAATTCATCCACTACACTACGTCACTCATTCATAAAATGCTATAGACAATATATTGTAAATGCTCAATTTAAAAACTGTTCCTCCATGTTTGATAACATCAGCCTTCTGTGGCTTCTGTCTATGCACAATCCACATATATGTCCCAAACCTTCCAAAATAAAGGGGCTGGTAAATTATTGCATGCTCAGATGTACGGAATATGTAATACTGTAGGCTTCTGAATTCACCTTTTTATACCCAAATTTGAACCAACTCACTGGGCTTCTCTGACAAGTCAGAAATGAATCAAGCATAACATTTAACCACTAAAGCTAACTTTTCTGTTTAGGAATGCAAGTAAATAACTATAATTTGACATCTTAATCAATAAACAATAATGTGCTTTAATATTTTTGTTTTTTTTGTAAAACAGTAAATTTGAAAATTCATGGATAACAATAATAATTCTATTTTAGCATTAAAATTAGCATTTGGGCTAAAGAGCTTCTACACGCTGGTGTATTGACCATTAAAGAAACAAAAGAAATGATTTTGGTAATTACCAATGCTGTTAATTTAGGGCAGCTGTGGCATAAACCCGACACTGGGTAGGGGTCTAATAAATTTGTTAAACACAAAATATTTTTTACAATTTTTGTTGAAAAATCCCATTCTCAAGCAAAAATCTAACGATGAACAATTGAAAACTGAACTGAGAGGTAATTGTCTACTTACGAAGTAATTCTGATGATGTGAATTCTTTATCACGGTTTACCATAAAAACTGCAAACAGGATTAACCAGCTAGATAAAGTGGTCGACTTTTGAGTTTTTCCAAAGACACAGGTCCATCCACTGGTTTTCGTGAACGGATTAGATACAAGTGTGTCATGTGAAGTAGGTCTTGCATTATTCGCTAATTATCTGGCACAGATTAGTGGCGGGGCAGAGCGTCAAAATGGGAGTTTTAAGACCATATTACTTTGTCCGATTGTCCTCATGTGAGGCCTTATTAGTGAGGCATCCAGTGCCATCCAAAAGTCATTTAACAGTGGAGTAAAACTGATGTTTATGCTACATTAAGGATTTAAATTTAAGATTGAAACAGCAATGAGAAAAAATAGATAACTTTAACCTTTATTTAATGCTATTTATATTTAAATATATATTTTATATAGCTAAGTAATGTGCAGTTTTATTGTACTGTTAACATACTTTTTCCAGGTCGCTGTATTAAAGCACAGTTTTAGCACAGGGGATTGGTGGCAGCAGGTTTATAGGTAGATGTCATAGAGCAGTGTGCTTATGCTCGTGTATTATTACGGATTACATTCAGGTCATGGTGATAAGCAGACTTTTTCCTAAATATGTGTGCCCAGGTAGCTCAGAAAACCCTTTTTCTTTTTTAAAAACACTTAAGCAGTCACTATACTCTGGGCTGAGTCCAGATATTTCTGTAAAGCAATTATTATGTCACAGAAGACATTCAGCTGCTTGGAGGTGGGAAAAGATGGTTTCAACTTCTCTCTTCAGCACTACTTCTCATATGTACAATTAAAAGCAACATTATGAATGTCTTCCAGGAGAGGCTGTATTATTATTATTGTTATTATTATAGTTGTTATTATTCTGATACTTTTTATTTTATTTTTTATTATTACTTAAATGTTTAGTTTCTCTTCTTCCCATGATGTCAAACTTTTTAATATTAAGTGACTTTTAAATGTTGTCATTCAAAGCACCTATAAACACTTAAGATTTCAAAATGTTTGGGCTACATGTCTCATGAACTATTGATTTTCTAGCTTTGTATTGAAAAAATACATCTGCTGACTGAAATTTACTTGGCCGCATTTGTTTCCTATTTAAAGAAGGTAACTGAAAATGACTCTTTGCTGAGTAAGTAGAAGATAAACCTAATTTTAAAAATTATTTTATGCATTAATGTACATTTATTTTCTTTAAAAGAGCAATGACAAATGTAATTTTTAGCTATCTGGGTGAGAAAAATACAGTCAGTGCTGTGGAAATTAGTTACACGTTTCTTTTTATCATTCAACACATATTTGTCATTGATATGATTAAAGGAGTTTTTGTTTCCAGTCTTAATGCTAAGCTAACTGGCTGCTAGCTTCCTATGTAGCATATACACTTGACACCTTCACACCAACAATAGGTTCTGTTGAACCAAATTTCTGGGTTTTTGAAAGGGTGGATATTTATGGAAAATCCCATTTTTAGTGACAGTGATGCATGTGAGGTGCGACCTGCAGCTAGGAGCTAGCCTGGTTCTGCCCAAAACTGACAAAATCCTGCACCTCTTTGGTTTTTGCATTGTTAATTAGTGAGCTTCAGAGGTGTAGGATTTTACTAGATGTGGACAGAGCCTTCCCCTTGTTTCCAGTCTTTATGCTATGCTAAGCTAACCATCTCCTGGCTTCATATGTACCACATGAGAGTGTGCTGATCTTTGCATCTACGTCTCACCAAAAACTAGCAAATTTCCCAAAATGTCAAACCGTTGCTTTGAAGTTTGCCTCCATCCTTTCTCATTTCATCTGGCAGTTTCTGGCAGCACAGCACTTATCAGAAAATATTTGTACATATTCCTGTGGTTTTATTGGTTAAACCTCAGGCAGATGGAGGAGTGAAGAGCAGATATGAATAATGATTATAATAGTGGCATGCGAAGGTCAGTTAACCCCTGTTGGTGTTACTGTGTTCAATGTTTTATCTGGGTTTTTACTTTAAGATTTCAGTGTAAGCGGACCTGATGCATGCCTCCAACAAAAGTTAAATGAAGACTTGCATGCACAAGAGCTGCAAGTGTCCAGAAATTAAACTCCATGAAGGCCTTGATAACCAGAAAATGTGCTGTCAAGAATTTCTTATTACGGAATGTTTTAATATTTCTTTGTTCACCCAGGTAAGTAATAGTGTTCTCTATATAGATTCATTATGTTTTCCTGCAGTCATAAAACATTACAGAAAAGTTGAAACATCACACAAATACACAGACATTTAACACAACAACAGGGCATTCACTACATGTATTTCTTTTTTAAATACCAGTAGGCAAAGTAGCCCATCCCGCCCAGCGAGCCCATGAGAAAAGAGGCCCCAAAGAAAGACGGCGGCTTCTTTTTTACCATCCGGAAGGCATTGGGTAGGACCGCCGACAGGAGGGTCGTGTGGATGTCACCCAAGACCTTGCGAAAAGCGAAGCGTTTTTGCACTCGCACAAAAAAGGACTGCAGGTTGGGTCGGCTGCCATCCTCCCAGTATTTCTTAGAAAGTCCCAAGAACTTGAGCCTATGCAACAAGGCTCCGAGGCAGATATCAGCTAGTGTAAATTCAGGTCCACAAAGCCACAACTCACACTTTTGACCTGTGAGGCAAAGAAATATTCAATACAAACACCGTTGCTGGAAATGTTTGGAATATGTTTTGATAATCTTCATTCAGACATACCTTGATACTCTAGTTTCCTTTTCTCCAGTTCAGCCTCCACTTGATCTAGAACCATGGCTAACTCGCCAAGAATTTTCTTCAGGTAGTTCACGTTATCATGGTCCAAGATTTTTGCCTGTAAATCACAAGACAAAAATCTGGTTCAAAGAGACTTACCAGCAGGCACGGTCAATAAAAATAACATAATTTTAAAAAATTAAGGTTTTGGCTTTAAAATGAACAACATTTTTTGCTTGAAGAGAAGTGACATCTGGTTTATAGGTGTGATCGATTTGCCACTACTGATCAGCCACAGCATCAAAAACACTGACAGGTGACGTCAATGACACGGATCAGCTCATTATCAAGCTGTGGGATATATATCGACCAGCAAGTGAACAATAAGTTCTTAAGCCTATTCAGGACTTTTGGGGTCTTTTGGACCCCAGGCCATTTGGTTTAAGTGACAGGTATTGTTTTTAAATGTTTTAATTTTTTTTTTTGTAACTACAAAAAGAGGGACATTTGTCATGCATTTGCAACCAAAAATACGCCAACTTATCAGAACATTTATTTAACATAGTATAAATGAATGAATACCAACAAATATTTCGCACATATTCGTCCGACGGGGCAGTAATGAGTGGGCATTTCCGCCATCAGCGATCACAGTACTGTATCCGCCATCAGTGGGGGGGTACCGGTAGGGGGATATTTGGCGATCAAAATTGATATCCTGATTCCATCACAGCGAACAAATAGTCGGCTATTCGAGTCCAGCCCTAGTTGGATGCAGAAAAAACTAGTGGCATAAGGAACTGAACAACTTTGATAAATGTGTGATAGCTAGAGCCTGCTCAGAGCTTCCCCAAAACAGTAGGTTCCTGTGGGCTGTTCTAGTCTGTGTCTAAAGAAGAACAGCCGGTTAACCAGTGATTGGGTTATGGCCACCCAAGGCTCATTGATGGGGCATTGAAGGGGCAGTGGAAAGCATTGGTCAGGTCTGATGAACCACATCATCTTCTGCATCATGTGAAA